TAGTTAATATTTAGCATTCATAATTCATCCGATTCGTCCCTATTCGAGTTGAGATTAAAATTTATTCGCGATTGCCGATCCATTTTAGATATAAATTTTTGTTGTCCAAAAAACCAGTCGTCCCACATACCACGCCTCGTGAGCGTAACAAAGCTGTCTGTGTAGTTACATAAATGGTAACTTAACAGAATTTTGTGACGTAATAGTGTATAGGTGCCAAGAACAATAATCGTAGGAACCTATGGAATAGAATGAAATTGAAATAATAAATATACGGATAGTTTTTTATTTAAACACATGCAAACATATTCGATAATTTTATTAAAGAGTATAATTAATTTTTTGTAAAAAGTACAGTTCTGATGTGACGTTAGTTGGTCATAAAACGGTATTTTCGACAATACAAGGTTCGTTCTGTATTTGGACACAAAATATAAACAAATAACCAAAGAAGATATTTAAAATCTGCTATTGACCGTTAACTAAAAAAAAATAATCTAATATAAAAGAGATTAAAATTAGCTATAGAAAAATTGCAATTGATTAAAAGAAAGAATAAACATACCAACATTATTATTTTTTAGTATCAAAGAATCTGAATAAAAATTCACCATCACTCCTAAAACTGTGTTGTTACAACATTGTAAGTGCAACTGGTCACTCTGGAAATCAACATTATTTTTACTCAGGATTGGAAAAACAAAAGTACCACACGTTCAGTTCTTCTTTCATTTGTTATAATATTAAATAAACAAGAAGGTGTAAAATTGTAAGAAACTGAAAGATACTGGCTTTGCTGTAGGGGAAGATCTAATAAACGAAAACAGAGTCATACAGAAAATGTATTTTAGTTAGTGTACTAAAACAGCCCTGAAGTGAACACAAAAGAGACTTAAAGGAAACAAGATTAATATTGAGGATAGCGACTACACATCGGAAGACATAAACAATATGTTAAAATAGTTACATTATCATCTTTTCTCTTTGTATATATTTGTGATGATATACCCTTGTTAAAAAAATATATATTATTTTATATATTGAATGTCAGTAACCTTTTAAATGAGGAAGTTCTTTTAGATTTATATTTATTGAGTATTCGTCTCTTTGGATTAACTTCAAGAATATAAATATCGATGAATTACAGAATTTTCTCCACCCCATTAGAAGAACTAAAAGTGAACCAACGGCAGCTACACCTAAGGGAGTGGAATCTAAAATAGTAGCGTTTACAGAAATTGAAGAAATAACAAGAATATTTAGAGATAATCAGGTAGATATAACCTCAAAAAATACAGCGGAAAGAAAAAAAAATTTGGAAAATTAACTTTTTCTCTTCTTCACGTGTCGTTTTTGCGCCCTTAAAAAAGAATTTCAAAATCTAAGCAGAGTAACTTCTAAATGATGCTTGCAAATATTTGCTGTATTTTTGATATATATTTTTATTTTTTGTGTTTTTTTTATCAATTTTGGTTATTATTTTGATTATTGTTTATTGTATGTAAGAACATTCTGTCTTTAAAAAAGACCCATACTTTAATTTAAAATTTTAACATTTTGTATGTATTGTTAACCTACACCCTGCAATGTCACCTATCATCCTACAGCGTGGTGCGGTTGTCATAAGTAAAAGAAGAAGGTGGAATAGTCTAGAAATATCTAGAAATGCCATTCCGTGTCCAGAAACATCTGGACGGTTCGAGAAGGTTCAAGGCAGCTATATAAGTAGATGATCCTGACGTCACAGTTCACTTTGATAATAGACGGTTGCACGTTAAAGTAAATACTTGCATTGTAAAAGTTGAGTTGATCATAAATTGAAATTACCAAAAACAAGCGTAACAGTATTTATCACTTGAAGTTTATTTGGCAACATATTAAATAATTTTGTCTCGGAGTACAAGGATCTACGTTGAATTATAGTTTTACTGCATTTTATTTCTCTGAATGTGTTTTTATTTCTAACATTACGAACTTGTATTTTTTTCAGAAGGTTGTCATTTTTTTATAGGCATGTAGCAATACTGTTTGACCGTATAACTATCTAATGTCAAAACTTGCTTTCTTGGATCAGGCTTTCTGTATAATACCTCTTCATTTTACCATAAATTATTTTGAATGCTCATTTTTGTATTTTGTTCAAATCTACGTGACATTCATTTATACCTCCCATTATTCGCACAAGCACAATTTGTAAAAATTTAAATTTAAGTTACATCTCCTGATACATGGACTTTAACCATCAGGATGTTGTTCCCGATGTGCCTTTCTGTTGAGACTCCAGGTTCTAGAGTCTTTCCTTATTGTGGGTCACCGCTACACACCCTCATGTTAGGTTCAACAGGACACCGCTCTCTGACTTTACCTTTGCTACAGGGGTTGCTACACACGTTCGTTGACAACGACTCCCATTCTTGGGGCCTTTCCTATCTGTTTCTCATAATTTGTATGAGGAAGCACCCCCATTTAGTACGGTGGACAGAACGCTTATCTTGGAACACTAATCTTGGAATTGGATTTACGAAATTTAAAACAAAAATTAAGCCCTTATCAAGAGCTCAGCAGTCGGCTTAGCCGGATGTCCCCTTTTTAGTCTATTTGTCCAGTCATTTTACTATATAGGTACCACACTATTTAATTATTTTCCTCATATTCACTTGCTTAGTCACTCTCAAACTATTAAGATTTACTCTCATATTGGTTAATATATTATTAATTAATATTATGTTTTATTGTCAAATTGCCTTTTAACATTTAATACCTTAATTATATATGGGCTCACCATTTAACTTAAAACTTTTCACATATTTCTGTCTGTTATAGCTTTTATTGCTACTTATAAATTAAAATATTTGTAACATTAGATTGTAATTTACTACAAATTATTCAAAAGAATTTTTTGTTTGAATTATTTGCTCTTACTCAACATTTGTCTAATTTTCCTTTTTTAACACCCCTTTTTTACGTTGTCATTAATTGTTAAAATACCTTTACATTGTTATAGTCTCTTCAGCTTTCAAGTATACTAAGTTAGTAGTAACCTGATAGTTTTATCACATGTTAAACATTTTTTTTTAAATTTTAGATTCCAATTCTCATTTATCACTTAACCCAGTAATTGTTATATAATATTGTTTCACTTGTATCAAACTTAGTCTTATCGCATACTTTCTTACTGGCGCCTGATGATGGTCATTGACCGAAACTAGTCGCTTTTCCTGTTTTCAAAACAATACAAACAATTTTTTGTGGTTAAGACTTAGAGTTTTTTCCTCTCCTTTACGGATACACCACATTTGAGATATGGATAACCTTCTTATTCTTAAAAGGTAAGTATTTTGTCTTCTGTATGTTAAGTGTGTTAATTAATTTTACTCTACATTTTTTAGTTCATGCATTTCTCCTAGAGCATTGCTTCAATGTGATACAGCCATTTGTGTTTAACTTTAATAAAATGTTAATACATATTACATATATTGAATAAAAGTGGGCTTCAGCACAGTTCCTTGAGGGACCCCAAAAATTACTATCTTAGAATCCCGGGAAAACTTACTCAGTGCTATCAGTAAGGTATGTTTCTATAAGTTTTAAAAAGTTACCTCTTGTACCCTAACTCTCTAGTTTATCTAATAATATTCTATGGCAAACAGTATCAAATCCCTTAAAGATATAAGGAAATAAGCAAAAAGTAGGAATACTATTATCTAAATTTTTATAATGTTATTAATTTATTGCATCTTCTGCTGATTTGCACTCTCTAAATCCGAACTGTTTGTTAGGTAGAACATCAATTTTTTTAGGAAATTTGTTAGTTTTTCTTTTAGAATTCTTTAATAAATTTTGACAAAGTTTGATATTAAGCTACTAATTGGTCTATAATATTAACCATATCAAGTTGAAATTCACTTTCGGCTTTAATGTTGTCCTCAACTTGAGATTTTTGTTTTAGATTTTTTTTTACAGCAATTTCAACCTCAATTAAATTAGTTGGATTTCAATACAGTGTAATTTGGTATTGTTTTCATTTTATTACCATAATGTTTTCCAAGCTTAGTGTAATGGTTGTTATATGTAGATAAGTGTCGAACGTACTTACTACGATTGACACATGTCAGACTCAACTGTCATCAGGAACATCCTCATCCGGGGCAATGGCCGACAGGAGGAACTGAAAGCACGAGCTAGAAGTGAATCCTACCATTTGTTTAAACATATTTAATAAACCTATTGGTTACTGAGGCTTCAGTAGTTTTATTGACGAACCCGCAAACAATGGTTATTTCTATTACAAATTTGTAAGGTGTTTGTGAATTCTGTATCTGTTTGAATTTTTTCTAATTTAGATTTTTGCTGGTTACAGAGATTATTTACACATTGCCACAGTTATTTCGAATATATTTTAGCTTTTTAATTAATGATTTAGCAGGCCGGTTAATTTTTTGCTCAAAAAAGTACCACTCAGTAAACTTTTTGCAATGATTTTTTTTTACCAAACTACAAATCTTTGCATCTTGAGTTTTTTCGCTTTAATTCGAGAACATAATACCAGCCTTTGGTACATAAATAATTGGTATCAATAAATTACCTTACCATATTTAGACAGGTCACCGCTATTCTGAAGGAAGAATACTTAAAATACAATCAACTTAAAACATTTTTTCTTATTTGGCGCAGATTGTTAGTATTTCAGACGACTGTTAATTTTTTAAGAATCGTATGGTTAGTTAAATAACTAACAGTAAAAAATTTCGTCGTGCTAGACTTAACCTCAATGTCACGATCGCCCGACCACCCATTCATTATTAATGGTTTTCGTTAAATAAAACATTTTCGGATGCTTAGCTTAGCTTACGTCGTTTTCAGCTAATTTTTTTCAACAAGGAAACAATTTCACGGTAATATTGCTACGTTATGGTGCGCTTAAAGCTTGAAACGTTCAATATTTTTATGCACGATTTAGTTTATAATACTTTATATAAAATAACCCATATTTAACTTACCATTTCTGTACTCATGGTATTGCAACCCCTAAGAGGCAGAGTGTACTCAACCGGAGCCTTCTTTTGGATCCATTCCCCCAGGCAGGTACTGTTCTTGGACAATCCTCTGGGATATATCATTCCGTTGAATTTGCCTGATGAAGTGGCGATGCTGACTACAATTTCGTCGTTGTTACATTGAACTCGAACATCTGAAGCTACTTCAGGTGTACCTGCAATGGAAATATACACAAAACATTAGTTTTGAGCCATACTACGAGCAATTTTCTTCATAATATGTTATGGCCGCTAGTATTTTTAGATAGAGACCTTTCCAAAGTAAAATTGGTTGCTTACAATTCACATTTATAAAACAAGTAATATTTTTTTCATTCTTGTTATTAAAAGATAATTTAAGCGCATATCGCTAAAGGTCAGTTCATTTTGAACCATTGAATTAAAAACAACGGTTTTTTTGGCAAGCCAGATATTCGCAATTTAAATTAATTTTCGTGCGCCTGTCATTTGTCACCTATAAGTAGGATGTTTGTTTATTTATATTACGTGTTTCATCGGTTTGTTGGAATCGCTGTTTCACCGATGCGTCCTTGAACGGATTTGGTTTATTTATGGCTGACCGTTGAAATAAATAACAGTTTACATTTTGAATTAAAATTTGTATTTATAATTTTATTTAAATATACCTATGTACCTTAATCCGAAAGTATGTATTTTTAAAAGACAGGTAGATACAGGGGCTGGTAACTCAAATGGAAAAACATGAGGCTGTTAATTTAGTACCACTCCAATTAACGGGATGGCGCTCGTATCGAAATGTCATGTCAGTTGTCAGCTCGTCAAAACTTCAATCTCAGATAAAATAAAATGGCTATTGTATTTGAAGGTGTATTGAATTTTGATTCATCTAGAATCTAGATTTATTTTTCAACACCTTCCAATTTTAAGCATGTTTTCAAAAGATGGGAAGATGGATTTCAGCAACAAACAATAAAGCACTCCCAGATATTGGTAGTAATGCAATTTATACCACGTTAAATATGCAGTCGTCCCCCAAATTGTAATAAGTGTCTTAAAAAAAATGCACCATCACTGTACCAACGGTAAGTAATATTTACAAACTTGTATTTGATTCAGTGTTAAAATAATTGGTTTGTTATTTAAATTTCTTTTTGTTTTCAGTTTTTAAATGATCATTTTTGTAAAGAAAATGTTGGCCCTCCAAAATACCCTGTCGATCGATGAAATATTTGAGCCTCAGCCATCAATATCAAAAATTGATTCAATGCCATTGACATCAAACAAGAAAACACCCTAAAATCTTCAAGGTTCCAAACGTGTGTAAGTTTAATTTATGCTCAAAAGTTAAATTTATTTATCACAGTGCCCACATGATGAATAAAAATTTGATAACTACAAGTGCTGTATAAATAACCGTATGGCAAATTTTATCCACACTCAAATTTGCTTCGATAGTAAAAAAGGATGATGGATGCTTCAACCTCAATTTTTTCAAACTTATTTGCCACTCCAAGTCGCAAAACTTTTATGAAGGTCTTGAGCACTTATATTTGCTGATTTTGTTACAGAAAACATTTTTGATAGGTTTGTTTTATAAATATTTAATTATTTAAATGGTGTAAATGCATATTTGTTTGAGTATTTCCATGTTTAAATAGACAAATTATATGATGCGGCGTTAATTTACTGTAATAAATAAATAAAATAAAATAAATTGCATTTTATTTCAAGTTTGAAATTAATGCAAAAATATAATGAAGTAAAATCAAATAAAGATTAAAATTGGCAAAATATTTGACTAGTTTCAAATCACAAAACAGTCAATATGGTTGTTTTATGATTTAAAACTAGTCAAATATTTTTCCAATTTTTTTGCTTTATTTGATTTTCTTCATTACATTTTTGCTACTACAAAGTTAAATTTCAAAAAGCCCGCTCGTGGCGGCCATATTGAATTTTAGTACCACTCCAATTTGATAGATGGCAGCACATCGACTCAGAATTTTACCATTGAGTTTCCCATCTATTCAAGTAATCTATGGGTAGATACGTTGCTGCAACAGTTGGATAAAAAGACACACGTAATGCGTTTGTTTTGGGCGGAATTTTGTATTTGTGATTTTTTACAATTGTTTGGGAACGTTCATAAGAATTGGAAACTTTTCATCCAGCAATTCAAAAACTATCAGTTAGCGGCTGAACTAAAGAAAAAAAGCAGAGCCTACACAATGTGCCCAACTACTTTACGTAATAGGAGAAGAAGGCTATAAAATACCGAACACATTCAAATTCACAGAAGAAGAGAAAGACAAAATTGATCCTCTAATACAAAAATTTGATGAATACTTCAAACTCAAAAGTAATCTTTTAAAGATATAACTTATTGCAAAGGAAAGAGGTTGAAAATCAACCAATACCAATTTCATAACATGCATAATAAATCTTGTAAAACAATGTGAATTATCCACCTTAGAGGACAAATTAATAATATCGAGCATAAATTATAATATATTTACTATGAATAAATAAAGTCTGACTTATCTGTCACAAGAAAAGGTTTGTTACAGTAAAAACCATGGAAACATGATTAAATCTAAACGAAAACTTTTTTAGGCCTATCGATGTATTAACATTTTCATTTAACTACAAATAATATTGAAGGATGATTTATAAATAAAATGTCTACCTGCGCTCCTTTCTTCTCTAGACTATAATTGTCTAAAAAAACAATTTTTCTTTTTTTCCATTTAGGAATATCAAACTTATCAGTACTAGTGATTTATGTAATAGTTTTCCTTATTACTTCCTTATAAGTTGCAATATTCAATAAAAAAGTGATTAATTTTAATTTTTTAATAATAATTACCTACCAATCGAATTAAAAGGACAATCATTTTACCAATTCCCATACCTGCGTAGTTACTAATTTAATTTTTTTCAGTCGTTAAATTTTGTTTTCATCAACACCAAACACCTTGTCAGTATTCTCCATTAACAATTATTTGCATTTCTCGTCGTCTTACATCATTATTAACAATCCATTTACTTCGAAGCATCATTGAATCTATTAATAAATTGTTTATAAACAAATAGTCACAAGATCGTTACCTTGTGGTTTTTTTCTTCAACTTCTTTGATTACCCATTAGATCTGGTCGTTAATTAATTCGTTAGGCATTGATGATAATTAGAATCTTATTATTTGTATTAGATTTTTCGAACTCATGGCTAAATTTAAACTATGATTATGTATCAGCATGATGGAAGTCGACGTCGTCAATGATTCTTCCTAATGTCCCATTGGTCTAAAACCATGAGAAATGGTTTTGATCCGAAATAGATTTTAAAAATATCAATTTTTAAATTTTTTGGTTTATGACCTCAGATAAATAAATGAAATGTAGATAAGTAACGGGAAGCTTTGTTTGAAGCCAATATACAGTATGTTAACCCATGGATCCATGGGGAAAATAAGGAGATGCTCTCGTGAATCGGCCGCCTGCCTGCCGTGATTGCATAGACTACAACTAATGGACTGGGATGTTCTACCTCTGTCTAATAAATGAAGGGTACAGAGGTAAAAGGGGCTCATCGCATCTTTGGCCAAAAGAGCGATATATTCCGGATGGATAGTATTTTTCATTATATTATCACCTCTTAGCTTCCAAACTAAATGAAACGGGCTGGTTAATGAGATATCTGCACTTAAAAAAACCTATACACGGAAACAACGAGCTCATTGTAAACACGTGTACAAGGCGCGCGTTTGATTTGGATGGCGATTGCCATTATTCGTAGTATTATTGCATCAGCCGTCAAGAACGCGTCTCTAGTAGTGTAAGTTTGTGTATTTTTGAGTTTTCATTATGGAAGGTGGTGATATTAGCAGTGATGGAGAGCTAAATATAAGTAGTATGATGGAGGCTAGATGTAAGAAAAGAAAATCTTATGGCAGAATAAGGGACGTTAAAAAGAAAATGAGGGTCCAAAGTCATGAAATGGGTCCAGACTGTAATTGTTTGAAAAAATGTTTTGATGTTGTGCCCTATGACATAAGAAATAGTGTATTAAAGCAATTTAATATATTAGGTTCGACTAATGCTCAAAATTTATATCTCTGTGGATTAATAGCAGTACTTCCTGTTCAACGTAAGACTTTAAAAGAAGGCGCTAAACACTATGGTGCATCCTATAAGTACAGGATTCGGGCTCTTGTAGGAGAGAACACAAAGGAATTTAATATGTGCCGTAAAGCATTTATTGCTATTCATGGCATATCAAAAAAGAAAGTGGAAATCTTGGTATCAAGCTTAAAGGAAACAGGATATGCTAAATGAGGTAAACACCCAAACCATCTTAATAAACTTTCAGTAGAAACACTAAGTCTGGTCAGGCAACATATTAATTCCTTTAAAGGCCGTGGAAGTCATTATAGCCTCAAGAACTCTACAAAAATATACCTTTCCGAGGAATTAAATGTCAAAAAAATGCATACAATGTTTAAGGAGCTGCACCCTAACAATAAAATATCCTATGAATCGTATAGACAGGTGTTTTGTCGTGACTTCAATATTTCTTTTGGATATCCGCGAACAGACCCTTGTAGCGCTTGTGATGAGTTTATAGTAAAGATTAAAAACTTAGAATCTGGAAAACTGGAAAATACGGAAAACCTACAAATATCTATGGAAATAAAAAGATTAACTACAGAAAATACATTACATAAGAAAAAAGCAGAAATGTTTTATAGCCGGAAGAAAATGGCTAAGAAAAACAGTAGAAAAAATTCTAACACAGAGGCAATTTGTATGGACTTCGCCAAGAATCTGCAGGTTCCAAATATATCAACAAATTATATTTACTACAAGAGACAGCTATCAGTATATGCATTTAACGTGCATGTTTTGTCTACTTCTGGGAGTAATTTTTATGTTTATTCAGAATCCAAAGGGAAAAAGGGTCCCGATAATGTGTGCTCACTGCTTCATAACTTCATATATAGCCATCTTGATCCAGAAGTGAAGCATCTGAAAATATTTTGTGACTCTTGCAGTGGTCAACAAAAGAATTTCGCTTTTTTTCGTTTTCTGCACAACCTAGTTAACAATGAGAAAAGGTTAGAATCCGTTGTTGTCACATTTCCTATTCGAGGACACTCATATATGGAATGTGATAAGAATTTTGGTCTTGTTAACAAAAAATCGAGAGCAGAAGTTCCCGAAGACTGGTTGCAAATATTGGAGGATGCCCGCCATTCGTTGACTCCATTCAACGTTATCAATGTGAATCACACATTATTCCGTAGTTGGACAAAATTTCTCGACAATAGTTACCCTAAAAAGTCTTCATTCCCATCTAGGCCAATCAGAGAAATCAACATACAGAGAGGAGCTCTTCTACAATATCGCACCACATACAATGGGGCTTGGGAGTCAGCTTCATTGCAAGTAAAACGCCGCAAATCCTCAAGGCTACCTGTTTGTCACCTCAAGGATAACGAATTTAGGCTACCTGAGTATAGCTATGAAGGTATTTTAAATTATTCATTATTACCACACTGTATTTCTCTTATTATTTTTTATATTTATTTTAGGACAGCTTCCAATATCTGCTGAGAAGTTTCGCGATATTCAGCATTTGAAAAAGTTTTGCAGCCGAGCAGCGCAAGAATTTTTTGCAAATTTGCCGCACCAATAAAGAAGATTTAGACGTTAAGATAATTTTTCTATATTCAAAAATTTTCTTTTTTTAGAATATTATTTTATTGTCTTCCTAACTAACGATGATCGCTGTTAGTAGTACAGTGAAAGAACGAGCTCATTTCAATGAAATGAACCTCTTTTTCCCTTGTAGTTTTTGTAGTTGTAAGAGTTTTTAATTTTTCCTAGTTCAGAGAAATATAAACTGTCTCAAAAAATATTTACCGTAGTTTGTTTGTTATTTATTAACCTTCAGAAAAATTTCGAAAACTTGAAAAAAGCAACGTAGCGTTCGCAAACTAGAATTTCAACCTTAAACACGCTCTGATGGAAAAACATAATGCTCATGAGCCCCTTTTACCCCTGTACCCTTCAAATGGCATCGCTTATTATATACCGTTCTTCTGGCGTCATTGTATGAAACTTAACATTCTGTGTACGAACGTGTGACAGTGTAACAAACGATATTTATAAAAAAATTAGATCTTTCACTTAAAATTTAAAGTAGTAAGAAAGGAGTGTGCCATATTTCCAATAGGAAACGTATGTTATAAAGTCTGCTATTTTGGATAACCATAACTCATCGATTGTTTATGTGTCATTTGAAAGTCGGTTTTTGTACTATATTTTGCAAGCTATTAGCTGTTGAACCATTTTTAGTCGATAATAGTTAATATATAAGTCCTTAATCTTGGTGCAATAAATATAGTATTAAAAATAATGTTAAATTGTAAAAATCCTGAAATTAGAAATATATTTTTGGTTATATTTGCATCGTAATTTATCTGTGGTGGGATAAAATTTGCTGTTATATTGTTATAGTAGGCGACAGAAATCGACTACAGTCATTGCGTTCGGTCTGCCAAGTTCCTTTAACTCCTTTAACACTTTTAACTCCAAACGACCCTTTTAGCGTTCGGTTTAGTCCGATTAGTGACAATTTAACACGCTTAAATGTCATTTAAAAGCACCCTAAAATTTGTCCCGCTCCAGCCCCTGACTATCCGAACTCGCCTAGTGAATCTTCACTCAAGACAAATTAGATTGCGGCGACAGTACATGATAATTAAATCCGTTGTTTTATTAAAAAAAAACAGGTAATTAATATTTAAAAAATAAACAAAACAACGTTTAATTATGCTTTTTTTATAAAATAAATAAATAAAATATATTAACAGAAAATCTATTTCATAAGTGGTTTAAATAGAGACATAATTTAAAAAATAGTACCGATACAAACAAGCCTTTCTTCTTACTTTCTAATAATCTTTTAAACATTCTAAATAAATTGAAAAATATATCACTGGGACACGACATGCTATTCGATTCACGATCATGATGACCATAATTAGTATAATGTTTATTTTCTTATAACAATGGTCAATTTCTAGTTCTTGATCCAACATTAAATATTTAACAACTTATGTAAGAATAGTAAATCCTCATCATGCCTTCGTTTTTCAAGCGCGTAGACTAGTCATAGATTGTCTGGAAATCCTCCTAAATCACATACATTTCTCTAGTTACAACTTGTGTGTGATAAAAATTTTTGATATCACTCAATTGAAGAATGTATAAACATAAAATGAACCTTCAGTGGTGGTTGAGCCTCAAAGCAGTTCTCAGAGGTAGTTTGAATAGGAACATCAGCAGGACCATACTCCGGTGGTCGGCCTCGTTTACGGATTAGTTGAACAAGTTTGGGAAGTGTCACTTCCGGATCAGCACTGCAGGAAGTCAGAACTCAGAACTGACACATGGCATTTACCAGTAGGAATATTCCAACGACTTCACGGCGTCACTTAGTCAGCGAGAATCTACTGTCTACTGCATAGACCATATGTCTACAGACACTTTATTGGCTGCGTTCAGCAGCCGCAACAGTTTACTTATTTTCTGCTGAACGACAACTTTTCTCAACGTTGCGCGAAATAGTTGTCGGATCAGTCGCCATTTTTTGGAGCGTATTTATTTTATGCTACCTTTCTAGTGAGGTTAAGATCAACTTAAAAATAGATTAAAGACGAAGGTGCTGATTTAAAACATAGAAATTCTAGAGTTATTTGACCCAGATCTCGATCAAACTTTCAAAGTTCAGGTGACTGCTAAAGAAAAGCATCTAGTAGTGAATGGAAATCCCGTCAATTTTAGAATAATATTTAAGTCAATATCATCGTCAAGGGCGACCATTAAAATATTGTCATCCGTTGTATCACTAAAGTTTTCTTTACAATAGTTGCTTTTGCTATTATACACAATACCCTTTTATATTTTACTTTTTAATTTACACACGATCCATAGATAAAATGGATAAAATATAAAATATAAAATCAAAAATTTGGAGTTTGTAGGTTAGTTACATTCATTGTGGTTACATGAGTTCAAAAAATTGTCAAATGTCACTACAGTTTACTTGCTCAAAACGCAAAAAATACTGTTCAGCAGACTATAAAACTGTTGCAAATTGAACTGAAACAGATCCCGACCAGATTTTTTCTACTGAACGTAGCCGTTGTCTCCCGCGAACGAACACGAATGTTGATGTGAGTCTCTGTACACGTTGCTAGCATCTGTGCCAATAATAGAATGTTAGGCGTGTGAAGTAGACTCCTTACCATATTCGAGCAAATCAACATTTTTGGTGCTCATAGTTGATTTTCCTGAAGTAGACAGAGAAATCCCTCCATCGTCTCTAACTAGTAAAGTCACACTACTAATAAAACAGGCATTAGACTGAACGGGTTCCTGTAAGAAAAGTGGTGGAAAATTACCATAACACCAGGGGTCACGTGGGATATCCAGAACTACACCTAACTAGGTCCTACTCTCTGTATGTTCAGGTACGGAGATTAAGCGTACATCGTGTGATTTATCTTGTAAAGTTACGTTGACATTGAAGATTAGAACATTGGAGATAGTAGTTTTACCATCTGCGAGGGTAATTTTCATGGTTTTCGTGTGATAGGGTACCCGATCTATTAGTAAAATGTCTCCTAGCATGGAGCCAGCAATGCTGCATTGGACACTAGAATATAGATAAGGGTATAGATAAGGGTAGCCTTGATCATTAATCTGTACAAAAGGTTTGGATAATAATAAAGTTTGACTGTTTGATATATTAAGAGGATCAACATTTTCTGCTAACATAAATTCTGAAGCTTATAATTCAATTTTAGAGCAGAGCAGAGACAGTTACTTCTAATAAAACCTGGAGTTTTGCACAGCATGAAATCGAGTTTTGTAAAAGGGTGTTAAATGACTGAAGTTTGGGTGTTTTAGGAATTTGGGGTGTTATTTGGATGAAACCGGATTAGTTTTATTAGCTGCAGCTTCTTTGGACGTGGTAGTAGCTCATTATTTACATTCATCTTTTACAGGTCACGGATTTTTTACAATATGCACACCGAACCTTCTTAATTTCTTCCATAACTTCGTAATTATCAAATGCCTTTTCTACTAATCGAGTTTGTGTTAAAATTTCGTTAAAAGTCTTTACTTTTTGGCGGATAATTTTTTTTATTTGCCTATGATTTGTTTTGATTACTTATCTTTCAAATGACATGGAACTTCTCCGAAATGTATGTTGTAGAGAAAACAAAACATTGAATAGTAATAAAATTCGTAAACAAAACATACCAGAAACTCTTAAAACTTGAAAAATATGCTTTGGGAATATAAAATCACAAAAAAATTACAAAGCTGACAATCCCCAAGTGCTTGTAGATAGTTTTGACTAAATTTTGCCGCTGCTAGTTAAAATAGACGAAGGAAAGGTAGATACTGGCAGTGTTGTCAACCTTGAAGTAAACTCTTTCCCTCTTCATACTTTAAAAATTCCCACTTTTATGAAAAAATTTCCTTTACATATTTTAAAAAAAAAATATTTATTAACAGAAAAACGAACGCACATAAGAAAGTATAAAAAGTATAATCTAAAAAACATAAATCTTTTAACAAAACTTTAAAAATATATTAATGAATTAACAGTTTTAATTTTATTTATTTTTTAAAATTATACATTTTTCATAATTTGAACTACAAAATGTTTGGATAACAATAAAGTTTGACTGTTTGGTATATTAAGAGGATCAAAACTTTCTGCTAACATGATTTCTGCAGGTGATAATTCAATTTTAGAGCATTTAGGACATTTACCTATAATAAAACCTAAAGTTTTGCATTCACGGCATGGAATGGGGTTTTGTAAAAGAGTGTTTGGGTGTTGTAGGAATTTAGGGTGTTATTTGGAATGAAACTGGAGTTGTTTTATTAGCTGCAGTTTCTTTGGACGTGGCAGTGGAAAATTTTTTTACATTCATCTTTTACAGGTCGCGGATTCTTACAATAAGCATACCGAACCTTCTTAATTTCTTCCATAACTTCGTAATTATCAAATGTCTCTTCTACTAACCTAGTTTTGTGTTAAAAGTTTGTTAAAAGTCTTTATTTTGTCGGGGAGAATTGTCTCTCTTATTTGCCTATGAACAACCCATATACCATGTCAAGTTAAACCGTTTCAGTTAGCGTAGGTATTATACACACAACCAAAATCATATGGAATCACTGTGTATTTTGGAATAAAAAAAAATAAAAAATTTGGTAACTAACTTTAAGATAAGGCCTTTCGTTCTTAACAAACATGATAATAAAGAAGAAACAACTGCTGAGATTTATTATCTTGTGAATTTTGTGTTCAGAAGTAAAATCACGATTCTCCGATAATTTTATTTCGGTCCAAAAAAACAATAAAATGCCTTATATTGGACTAACAGATATGCAGAAGGGTGAAAATTATTGCTCTCATTGAACAAGGAATGCCCCAATGAGAGGTAGCAGAGGTAGTAAGCGATATCCAGGGTGTTGTATTGAAAACATATGAAAGGTACTTGGAACTAAAAACTCTCAAGAACAGGCCCATACAAAGTAGTCAAAGAGTCACAACTGAACAACAGGACCGTTTTGTGTGCCAATTTACTTGACGAAATCCCAGTGTTTCTC